TCCAAATTTGATGGAAACTGCCTTCCACACATCCAAGAGAGTCAGCATTCCCCAGAACAAGAAACACGAAGACATTTGCATGACACATTATAGTAAGATTTCCTAAGACCCATGACAACAAAATCTGAGAAACAGAGGAAAGTCACGTGTGCAGAGGAGCAAAGCAAAGTGGGTTGTGATGGTTGGTAACGATCATCAGCTTAAGATCTAGAATCACCCAGGGGATAAGCCGTTGGCATGTGTGAGGGATCACCTGGATTAGGTTAATCAAGGTGCGAAGACCATGGTGAACATGGTGGCATCATCCACTGGATGACCCTTCACTGCTTTCTGCTTCCCGGCTGTGGATGCAGTGTGACCAGCTCCTGCCGCCATGACTTTCCTGCCGCAGCGGACTGTACCCTAAAACCATTAGCCACATAAACCCTTCCTATTTTCCTTTTAAATATTTTATTTATTATTTTTATTTTATGTGTATGAGTATATTGCCCCCGTGTGCGTAGCCCATGTTGTGCAATACCTGCGAGGTCAGAAGAGGGCGTTGGATCCCCTGGAACAGAACGACCAACAGATGGTCATTAGCCGCCATGTGGGTGCTGCAAACTGAACCTGGGTTCTCTGCAGGAGCAGCCATTGCTCTTAACCGCCGAGCCGCCACTCCAGCCCCATGGACTCTTCTTCAAGTTGCTTCTGTGAGATACTTGGTCACGGTGACTGTAACGATGGCATGTCTGTCATTGTTTCTCCCCGGAAACAACGGAAGCCGAAAGACAGTGGCGCCACAGCCTTGAAGTATTGAAACCAAAACCTGCTGTGTGGAGTCACTTTGCATTTGTTTTAAAAATGAAGATGAGTTAAAAAATTTCCCTCAAACATACAAAGTATAAGTGTTCATCACCAGCAGACTTGTATTATAAGAACTATGAAAAGAAGTCCTCAGACCAAATGGGATGCTGAGTCAACACAAGGAACGAAGAACAGTAGCCTGGTAATTATGTGGGCGAATATAAGTGGTGTTTGTTCTTATTTAAATCTCTCTCAAACACAGTTGAATGTGTAAAGCAGAAATAACGTGAAGTAGAAGATAGGGACACCAGAGGCGAGCAAGAGGGGATGTCAGCTGTTGTGAGGTTCTCAACTGCGTGTGAGTTGGTATGATCTCATTTGGATGAGACTGATGAGGTAAAGGTGTAGACTCTGAAGTCTGAAACCACTGAAATAGCCTAACAGATACATAGTGAATTAGCCAATGGGGGAATTAGAGTGGAATGTAGAACTGGTTCCCTTAACCCAGAAGAAAGAAAAGGAGGATGAAACAGGAGCAGGCCTGGCGCCACAGCAGGCAGCTGTTTCATCAGATTACATGTACATCATGTGAAGACCTCAACTGGAAGGCCGACGATGTCAGATTGGATGGGAAAGCGATGTCAGATTGGATGGGAAAGTGAGGCCCTGTGGGAGATGTACCTTTAGTTAAAAGTGGAGGGTGAGGTGACAAGGAAAATGCAGGTGAAGTGGCCACATAAATACCAGTCAGACCAGTTTTAGAACAAGAAGAACCAGGGTAAAGAGATTAATTTGTCAGGAGGATTTAATGGTCCTAGACATCCGTGCACCTCCTAAACAGCTTCAAAATTCCTGGAGTAAGAGCTGAGTGAACTTCGGAGAGAAGTGTTCAAGTTCCATAGTGAGAGACTTGTCTCAGTACTTGATAAGTAGAAAGTCGGTGCTGTGTAGATGACCCAAACAGCACAGCTTACCCTGATCCACCCGAGGGAACACCCTACCCAACAACATAGATCCAGCATCATTTGAAAGAAAAATGGGCCGTAAAGCAAGCCCTAGTCAGTTTGAAGGAATTCTAGTCAGACAACACAGTAGTCTATTTCTAATACTTGAGTTAAGGGAAAAAAATTGAAAAGATGACAAAGTGTTCTGAAAAAGATGCAACTGAAACGCATTACCCAGAATATCAAGATGCTTTCATAGAGAAGTCTGAGTCACTAAATAGGGATATTGGAAAAGGGAGAACGATCTTAATTCAGTGACCTTGTGTCTACCTTAGGTAGAAGAAAAAGAAACATCAAATTAAAACCATAGTAAGTAGGAGGGAGATGAAAAACTGTGGGGTTAGTGGTAGAGTGTTAGAACGTGTGCTTGGTATGTGCAAGGTCTGTGACCCACAAAGAAAAGGAAGCAGAAACAGAAAACAGGAAAACTATAGAAGAAATAAGTACCCCCCCACCCCCGGCACTTACAAGATAAACCAAATGAGCACACTTCCAGCCAGAGTGATGAAGGGAGGAGGGGCTGTAAATCACTATTTGGAATGAAAGAGGTACCATTACTTCAGACCTTACAAATAAGTAAAAGATAAAGAAATGCTGTAAAGAACTTAACGCCAATAAATTCAGTTAGGTAGATACGATGGATATGTTCTTTAAAAGGTGCAAACCATTGTATCCTCACTCAGAATACAGGTAGATCAATTGACTAGTGCTGTATCTATCAACTACATTTGTCATAAAAAACTTACTTTCAAAGAAAACTTCAAGCCTGGATGTATTCACTGGTGGGTGTTTCCAACTCATTCTGAATTTTGAAACAGAAGTCTTTCTGGCTTGTTATATGAAACCAGTAATACTTTGAAACTAAAATCAGATATGAAAACCATACCCCATTCTCTCTGTTGGGCACAAATATGAAAATTTGTAATGAAATGTTAGTGAATAGCATTTAGCAGTAGGCAGTGCATCAGGAGTATTTATTTCAGGAGTGCAGTGCAGGTTCACCACTTAGAAGCAAACCAGTATAATTCATCCTGTTAAAACATTAGAAAGGAAAGAAAATAGCACGATTGTCCTAGTTTGTTCTTCATCGCTGTGACAAAACACTCTGATCACTACCAACTTTGGGAGGAAAGGGTTTATTTGTCTTACATCTCCCAGGTCACAGTTCCTCAGGGAACCCAAGGTAGGAACTCAGGGTAGGAACCTGGAGGCAGGAGCTGGAGCACAGGCCATGGAGGAACACTGCTTACTGGCTTGCTTCCCTGGCCCCTGCTCAGCCTGCTTTCTTATGCAACATAGGCCCACCTGCCCAGGGGTGGCACACTCCCACACCTCCCACATCACTCATCAAGAAGATGCCCCTCAGACATGGCCACAGGCCAGTCCAATAGAGGCAATTCCCTAATTGAGGCTCCCTCAACCCAGGTGTGTCAAGTTGACATTAAAGCTATCCAGCACAACGATCATCTCAGTAGAGAAAGATATCTGATAATATCTGACTTTCATTCCTGATAAACTCTGTTTATAAACAGAATGGTGGGAAATGTTAATTAGATAAAGGACATCTCTAATAAAATCCTACAGCCTACAGTATATCTAATGGCAGAAGATGAAATGTTTTGTTCCCAAGATCAGAGATAAGTCCAGCATACCCCTCTTACGACATCCGTGGAAGATGGATGGTCCTTGGCTGAGCGAGGTTACAGAGAAGGAAGACGGTGTGGAGGAACCTTTGGAATTTGGGAAAACTTGTAGATAACTTCAGAATGTTCCCAAAGTATAGCGTCTGTGATGGCAGTCTTCTAGTGTAACAAAAGTTAATAACTGAAAGAAACCAGAAGATTGTGGTTTTGGTGACTGAGGGGGTTTCAAGTGTTCTTTTTGTCCATCTGGCTTTTCTAGCCTTTCTCCAAGTGTTTATTTTGTGGTGATAGTAATCAGAGACTTGTCCCAGGAAACCACAGTGTTAAGCCATGCTATGTAAATACAAATGAGTAGGGCATAAAAACTTTAGACCTCCTTTACATTTAAAATATGGAGGGCATCTAGTAACAGTTAATGCTTTTTACTCTGCCCTACCAGTATTGTTGTGTGTGCTGTTTTAACTTGTGTGTCTTTCTTCATCTCCAAATGGACTGAGGTCCTCCTGTTCATCACTCCTGTTTGTTGCTCCATTCTCCATATATTGATGAGTTTCCTGAGTACCAGCCACTGGCCCTGTGTCCCTTGAAGCCAGAGTGCCTTTCCATCTTCACTTCCTGCCTCCCCTCCTCTGCTGGCTGAATTACAGTCTTTCAATTTTAGATTCTAGGCTTGACCAGCCAAGCCCATTTGCTCCTAAGTCACCCAGAAGCCATTTATTTTGCCAGGGGTATTTCCCTACTCTGCCACCACCTTACTGCAGACTCCATTTAGTTCTTAGATCACCTGACCTGACCCCTCACCAGGGTTAGGTACTCTTATGGACTTTCTAGTTTTCCTTCTGCAGTGTTGCATCTAATACTTTTGGTGTAATCTCTAGGTGAAAATCTCAAGAGTTGGTAGTATTGTCTTTTGATACCAATAGGGGTCTGTTCGGAGATGCCGCACAGACACCAAAATCTTTAGATGCTTAAATATGCTTTATACGAGAGCCTAGAATTTGTGAATAACCTATACGAGCTCTCCTGTATGCTTGAAATCATCTCTATATTACTTACAATGTATAATGTGGTATAAAGTCTATGTAAATACATGCTGTACTGTATTGTTTAGGAATAATGACCAGGTAAAAGATCTGTGCACGAGCAGTTACTGTTCTGCTCTAGGGTGTTTCTTGTTATTTTGGAGACAAAGTCTTATGTGGCCCAGGTGGCCTCAAGCTTGCTGTGTAGCCAAGGCTGACCTTGAACTCCTGATGTTCCTGCATACACCTCTAGAGTGCTAGGATTATAGGAGCGCACCACCACACCTGGCTCAGCTCAAGTGGTTTTGTAAATCTATAGTTGGTTGCGCCCATGGGTCTTGCAGGCCAACTGTATTTGCATTACAGGTGTGTTCTGAGTTGTGCAGAGGCAGGCTTGATTGTGTGGCACTGTAAAGTCTGTCCGTTTTCTGATGAATCAACTTTGTTTCCAGCTGAATTGACAGCACATTATGTGTGTAGCCAAGATTAGAAGACCAAATCCAGTTGCTAATACCGTTCCTTAAACATACCTGTTGACATTTCAGGTAACACAGGAGGAAGGCCAGCAGTTGGCACGGCAGCTCAAGGTCACATACATGGAGGCATCAGCAAAGATTAGGATGAATGTAGATCAAGCGTTCCACGAACTTGTCCGAGTTATAAGGTAAGCAAAACATGTTGGACATATTTTAATGTTTTTAGTAAGAAAGAGAGAGTGTAAGTAGAGGTGATTTCTTTGTGGGGGCCAGTACACGTGGTGGGTTAAATTTTAAGCAAATACATAGCATATTCTAGTCACTTCTAATCAGTAAAATTCCATTTAATTAAGTTGAAGTAAAAGTATATGTAAGGATTTTGAAAACAGTGACTGGTTTGACAGTAGTGATGCGGCGTATAATCAGGTGTCTGTCAGCTACTGTGTTAATACAGCGCGTTACATTTGATCTCTACTACAGACCACAGAGCTAAATACTTTACCCCACTTCCAGGTGAGCACATGGAATACAGAGAGGTTAAGGAACTTGTTCAAGCTTTGTATCTACTAAATGGCAGTGCTGGGACCTGAATCCAAGTGTGTGATTCCAGAGCTGTGTCTAGCGTTGCTTCTTATCCAACTCCTACCAGGCTACAAGTAAACCAGGCAGTAGAGATTCCATAGTCTCTGGGGTGTATGGAACCCCCCTGCCAAGTCATACGTGTGACACCCTAGTCAGCAAAGAAGTGTTTTGGAAGATGGTCTAGGAGGCCCCAGACGTATTAATAGTTTCCAAGAAGCTCGAGGTGGTAGATGAGGTCGGCTAGAGTTTCTGGATATGTTGCATATGAGAAAGATTAAGTTGCTTCAGTGAGTGGTGCTTGATGACATCATCTGGGGTTCTGTGGCTGGACCTCCGGTCTGTCCTCTGTCTCCTGGTTGTCTGCTAGTTAGTTTTGATGGGCGTGTGGGGTGGCTCTTGCTTAGATGAATTGACACCTGAGTGGTGGGCTTCCTTTTGTGGAAGGGAAAAAGTGAAGGCTCTAAGTTTTAGTTTTTATGTTAAACATCCTAGTTCTGTTTAGTTCAGAGTTTCCACTTTGCAGGATGAAAGCTTTCTAAAAGCAGATGGCAGCGATGGTCATCCAGCCATAGGAGGAAACTCAGCACCATTGAACTGTGCACTTAGTACTGGTTGAGTTGGAGAGATTTGTTTCTCACCCCTCCCCATCCATGGTCCATTTTAGTGCTAAGCTACAAATGAAGCAGTTCTTTCTTAATTAAACCTTTTGAAATACCTTGTTTTTCCTTTTGACCCTTAAGAATCTCTCCTCACCTGTTGGTCAGCCAGGTCTGAGAAAGGGAGGTAGAGGATTTTTTTCTTTTTAAGTGGTGGGCATATTTAAACACCACAAGATCAGATGTCCTAACAGCTGTGCAAGGTAGATTTTGATTATTCTCTTCTAAAAACTAGAGAGGAGAAGCCAATCAACTTGTGTAGTGCTGGCTTTGGTAAGTGGCAGGTGGGATTGAAACCAGTGCACATGTCTTAAAAGGTAGTTTTACATTGCTGGATCTTACCCCTCAGCATGTCTTCGAGTCCAGAAATTTCATTCTGTTTTGCAGGGTGGATGGGGATCAAATGCAGGGCCTCACACGGCCTCACTTGTGCTAGACAAAGCACTCTACTGCCGAGTGCCACCTTGGTCCCCGAGTCCTTGTGTTTTGTTTTCCTTTCAAGGATTTGCTTTGATCCCTTAGCTGGACCTTGAAAAGCATAGGGACTTACATGTAACTTGTCTAAAAATAAGCTGTGTTATTAGGAGAGAGACTGCCAAATGGATGATCATATTTAAATTTTCCGTCTTACAGGAAATTTCAAGAGCAAGAGTGCCCACCTTCACCCGAACCGACTCGGAAAGAAAAAGACAAGAAAGGCTGCCATTGTGTCATTTTCTAAGAGTCCCTTGAGTTTTACTAACAACTGCCAGGAAAGCCCTCGTCTCCTCTGTTACGGTTTACATCTCGTTCGTACCTTTCTAGCCTTAGATCGATGATCACCATGTTAGCCTTACACCAAGAAGCTGGCTAATCTTTCTTCGAAGCTAATACTGGCCTTTTCCCGACCAGTTAAAGGAAACACTAAGGTTGCTTCAGAGATGATCTGATTCCTTTGAAATACATGTCTACATACACAGACGCATTCTTTTTCCAAGGGGCTTACATTTTAATAGGGATGAACCAATTTTGGAACCTAAGCTGTTTGCTAAGCTGAAGTCATAGGTTGTGAAGTAATTTTTAAATTCTGGAATCATATTGCCTACTGTTACTCTAAATAGGAACGTAGGGAGTTGTTTTTTTTTTTTTATTTTTTAAATGTGAAATTTTGCCTCTCTTTAAAACTTTTGATGTCAACTTTCATTAACCTTAAATACACTGAATGGAATCTACAGAAGTGAGACATCTCAGGCCTTTCCTGATGCTATGGCTTTTGTTTTCCAGTGGCCAAAATACCCAAATGCCTATTGTATGTACGGATTAAAAACTGCTTACCAAGTCTCTGTTATGCCTCCTTGAAGATGGACATGCTCCATGTGGCCAAATATTTGGACTCATTCTGGACTTAGACTCTTCAGTGAACTTGATTTTGTAATTTAACTTTTCACAGCCATGCTAAGGGTAAGAGTGAAGAATTGTTGTTTGTCTTCCTTTTCAAGTATTTCTGGTTAAGGGATTAAAAAAAAAACAAAAAAACAAACTAAAACTGTTTTTGTTTGATGTAATATAAAATACGGAATTGAGCTTTCCAGAGTCAGAGATGATTAATGTTTTTGCTATATACTTTTATACGTTATTTTCTTATCAAACTAGTTAACAAGTATTTTTATATGTTTGTAAGAAAATATGCTTCACAGCAATACCTTGTGTATATGTAAAGATAAGTATTTAATTCTCACTGTTCACTTTTAACTGACAAAAAGAAAGTGGAAACTGCACCAACTATGGTGGAACTTTTACTTGCTGACTTGGTCCTGGTTGTATCTGCCTGTGGCCAATGATCCAGAAACGTTCCCAATAGAACACACAGGATGGGACTCTGAAATCACATTTAATATCTCTACTAGACATTGGCTGTCATATCGAGTATTCCGTGTAAAATTTCTAATTGACAATTAGTGTCACTGTGGATGGCTTCTTTTCTTCCTTTCTTTCTTTTTTTAAACTCTGTGGATTGTGTTTAAGCAATTCAAAGTGTGTTCCTGGTTTTGAGACACTCTGGTATCGCACAGCGGTCACTTTACTGAATGTGTACAACAGTCCCATGAAGTTTATAAAGTGGACCCTTGTATAGCTTCAGGTGCTAGAATTAAAGTTGATCTGTTATCACCAGATAATGCTTGATTACTCATTTGTCATGGCAGTGGTTTGTGAGGCGATAACTTAATTACTTCAAGCTTACTTCAGTGGCACTGTGCCTTCTCGCCACAGCGTGATAGGGAATTCAGCAGGTGAACTTGATGTGACACAGTTTGCTGTACTTAAGTGCTTTCTTGAATGTTTCTTGAGGTCAGTGCTTTTAAACTTCTCTCTGAAGTGTTGTTAACAGAGAAACCCCAAGTGCAGAGGAGAGAGAGTGGACACATACACATAAGCCCCTTGGAGGATGAAGCCTAGAATCAGCTGCAGCACAGCAGATCACATACTCATTTCAGTGCTACTAGGAATCAGTTTTACTTTATATTTATAGTGTATTAATCTCATTAATGTAGAATTACTTTCATTTCAATTTCTCTAGTAAAGTTACTGCACTGGCTGCTGACAGATCTAGCTTTGGCCCCGTACCTCACAGCACCATTGCATATTCTTGGTGGAAAAGGTTTTACTGGTTTTTCTGAGTCAGGCTCTCCCAGCTGGCCTGGAACTTACTATGTAGACCAGGATGGTCCTGATCTCATAGACATCTACCTGCCTCTGCCTCCTGAGAGTGCTGAGATTAAAGACCTAGGTCTCTGGACTTGGGGGACAGTTTTTGTATTTGTTTTAGATAAGATGATCAGAGCCTGAATTCATTGGGAACTCCTTCAGATTTAGTTTTCTCCCTTCCCCTTCTGTGTTTCATTTTGTGTATTTGGCCGTATCTTCAGGCTCTCTAACCTGTTTACTTCTGCGGCTGTGCAGTTGCTTACTCTGTTACTAATCCTGTTCAGTTTTTTTTTTTTTTTTTTTTTTTTTTTTTTTTTTTTTGTTGTTGTTGTTTTTTGAGGCAGGGTCTCACTCTGTAGCCCTGATTAGGTAGATCTCACTTGGTCAGGGATCCACCTGCCTCTACCTTTCAAGTGCTGGGATTAAAGTCCTGCACCGCCATGACCTGGATCTGTCCAGTGAATTTTATTTCAGACGGTGTTTTTCTTTTTTTTGAAAAGATTTTTGTTTTTAAGATAGGGCTTCATTAAATAGCCCAGGTTGATCTGAAACTTGCTATGTAGTTCAGGCTGACCTTGAACCCAAGGTCCTCCAGCTTTAGCTTCTTGAATCCTGGGGTTGCAAGGTGTGCATTGCTACTCCTAGTTCTGTTTAACCCTCTCCTCCTGTCCCCTTCCTCTCATGTCTTTTCTTCCTCCCCCTTCTCCTCTTTTGAGTTAAGGTCTCTCTTTATAACCCTAGCTTCACCATATAGACCAGGCTGGCCATGAGTTTCTAGCTATCTCCCTGCCTCTGTCTCCCAAGTGTTGGAACTACAGGAGTGTGCCACCCCGCCCCCAGCTATTTGATTCATTTTGTGTATCCAGTGTCAGTCTTTATTATGTTCATGTTCCTCTTAACCAGCCCTTCTCAACTGCGTTCCCAGAGAACTGAGTCCTAAGGCCTTGTCTGTTGTGTATTACCTATGCATCTAGGATGGTAAAGGTGTATTGGAAAAGTGATCTTAAAAAGAGAGAACTTTAAAGGGCTTGCTTCTCTCAGCGCTCTGGTTACGAAAGGCTGCTTGAATATGTGAACATGGTTATGGCAGTGGTCTGATGCTTTGTTGATCCTGCATCTCTATGTTTTGTATTTGTTTCTGCTTGTTTTTCTCTGGTTATGATCACATTTTTTTACTCTTTCACACATTGAGGTTTTGTTTGGATGATGATGTTTATATTGTTGGGTGTCTGGTCACATCTTGATCTGAAGGTTTTTGACTTTGTTTGGGTAATTAGTTAAGTTACTTGAGGGTCAGTATGATCCTTCAGGGCCATCCTTTTAAATGTAATGCAATCTGAAGTAGCTGTTTTTCCCAGGCTAGTTTAGCTCTACTGCTGCAGTGTGGCCCTTCCAGGGCCCTCGAAGTGCCCCAGGTGATCAGTAAGGAGTGGAGTTTGGGAACCCAGCTAGTCCCCAGCCTGTGTGAATTATGAGAAAATAAACTCTTCACAGCTCATGGGCCCTTCTTTGACAAATCTCTGGAGTTTGACCCTCTACATAAGTATCTTAATATTTTGCAAAAAGTCTTTGACCCTGTGTGTATTTCTGGAACTTGTTTTTCCTGTGTAGCACTTTTGAAACACTCCAGAACATTCTACAGCAACTTGAGGCTACTTTAAGATTCCAATGCGTGTCATTTCCATTCAGAGAAACATTTGCATTCTGTTTAGAATCCCCTAACCCTTGTATATTCTGGAATGTCCTCTAGGCCAGAAGCCAGGCAGTTTTAAGGCTTACCTTATGTGTCTACGAACCGTTGCTTCATATAGCTAGTTCCCCTCTGTAGGGGAGCCACACATTTTTTTTTTCCCCTTCGAGACAGGGTTTGGCCATTTTGCCCAGGCTGGCCTTGAACTCCTGTGCTCAAGTTATCCTCCTGCCTCAGCCTCCTGAGTAGCTGGGGCATCAGGCTTATTAAGCTGCAGCACCCAGCTTAGTTCAGTTTTTAATTGTATCAGAGAGGAAGGTCAGTCTGGCTTATTACAGAGTGGCCTGTCTTGTGGCATGAATGGTCCAAGTCTCTTGGCCATTTTATCCTCCATATCTGGGGGTTGGCAAAGTTTCTTTATGAAGGGCCAGCTAATAGCTGTCATCCCAGGCTCTGCAGGCCAGACAGTCTCTGTTGCAGCCACATGGACTGTTTTCATTGTAGCATAGAAAGAGTGTGTAAGTAAATGAGTGCGTGTGATTGTGTTCCAATAAAAAATTTGTATGCTTCCTATCAGTCATCATATGGAACACTAAACTTCTTTTGTATTTGTTTCTGATCCCTTTACACATGTAGTGACCCCTGCATGTGATGGCAGATGGTGGGATGGACTCCACTCGGGGCTGTGGCTTGCCAGATCTTCTGTATAGCACGGGTTTCTGCCACAACTTTACTGTCTCTTGGGCCTCATTATTTATTGGGACTTCAGACAATTTCCTGAGTGGACTGTCAGGAATCAGTGAGCTAGTTTTCTTCCTGGATTGCTTGTTCAAGAGATTTCCAGTATTTCAAAGCTGGACATTCCATTGTAATTGACATGGATGTCACTTTGATGATTTCCTGAATGTGGGGCTTCAAAGTCTTACAATATAAGTTCTTTATCTGTCACTGTTTTAAAAATGTGATGTCTCAGGGTTGTACGTAATTAAGGACTAGCCTACTTCTAACTGTTCATAAGTACTCATTTTAATTCGTTTTATTTCCCTTCCTACCACCATACATTTTGGTCCTTTTCAACCAGATAACAGGCAGGTACACAGACGGAGATTATGACCAAGTGATCATTTTCAAAATATTATTAATTTTTAATGCATTTTACTCTTTATAATTTTACATCATTTATTTTTATTTTATGTGTATGAGTGTTTTGTCTGAATGTGTGTAGTGCATCACATGTGTGCCATGCCCATGGAGGCCAGATACAGGCATTGGATCCCCTAGAACTGGAATTATGGATGGGTGTTAGCCATCATGTGGGTGCTGGGAACTGAACCCTGGTCCTCTGCAAGAGCAGCCAATGCTCTTAACTGCTGAGCCATCTCTTTTGTTTGTTTTTGACAGGATCTCCCTAGTCCCAGCCTACTGGAACTCACTATGTAGATCAGGCTGGCCTCAATCTCACAGAGATCCACCTGCCTCTGCTTCCCGAGGACTGGGATAAAAGGTGTGCACCATCATACCTGGCCCTTTCATTTACTTTTAAAGATTTTACTTATTTTTATTTTATGGGTATGAGTGTTCTGTCTACATGTATGTGAGTGTACCATGTGTGTGCATTGCCCATAGAGGCCAGAAGGGGGCATTGGATCCCCTGGAACTGGAGTTAAGGATGGGTGTTAGCTACCATGTGGGTCCTGGGAACCAAACCCACATCTTCTGGAAGAGCAATAAGTGCTCTTTAACACTGAGACATCCGGCCCCTTCAAAATATTTTCAAGCCAAAAGGTACTCTAATTAAAAATACATGCCTGAGTAGATTTTGTTATGCAAGACGGTAGTAAATGGTATTAGGTGTTCTGGGGAGATAAATCAGTGTGAATCTGTTCCTTCCTTTGAATTACCCATGGTCTAGTAGAGGAGATCCAGACAAATACTGGATCCAGAAAAATACTGGCGCTCCACCTTTTAAGGAGAAGCTTGAGAAGCCAGCAGAAAGTGATGTCAGGTCTAGCCGAACAGAGAGTGGGTATTCTTCAAGAAATCTGAATGATTTTTAGTCTTGCTGGAGCTGGGAAGGAAGATTCGAGATGGGAAGAAGAGGGGGAGTGAGGTAGAAGGAAGGCTGGGGAGAGGCACAGTGTTGGGATGCAGGGTGGATGCTGGTGGATGCTGCAGAGATTATAAATGCAGCAGGACAGATAAGATGGAACAGACTGGGGTTGGGGTGCAAGGGGCCTTAAACAAGATGGCCTTTCTGTATATAGTGGGAAGCAGCCAGGGATTCTGAACAGGAGGTACCAGATCTAATCCAAGTGGTCATGTGACTGGCAGAAAAGGGAGGTTAGGTGAGAGCTCGTCCTGTCATGGAATAGTGAGAGCAGAGCCATGCCCTGTAGGTGTAGAAAAGTCATTTGATGGATGAATGATTGCAGAGATTGGTGATGAAGGCTTGAACATGGGGAGAAGATGACAAAATGTGGGTGGTATCTCTGAAAAGCGTTGAATCGAGGTGCACAAAACGGTGGTGCTGTCAGCTAACGCACGCACAGGAGACTCTGGAGATGGAAACATACACCACCTACAGGGTTGGTGAGGAGGCATCTGGGGATGGGAATTGGAGCTAAAAGGGCTGAAGCTAAACAGACAGATTTGTAATTTTATGTGTTTTGAACTAATGATGAAGGAGCGCGAAGACTTGGCTAATACTAGAGCGTGAGGGGTAAAATTTTGGGGGAACCAAACATTTGGTTTGGTTTTTATACTGTGAGGTGGGGTTGGGTGGGGTATGCGTGGATGTGCATGTGCCACGCTGCACACATGTGGAGGTCAGAAGGCAATGTTTGGGGAGTGGAGTGGGTGGTGGCCTTGCTGAGGCAGGTTTTCTCATTTCTGCTGCCACACTGTGTGATTTGGGCTAGCTGACCTGTGCGCTTCTAGGCGGTTCTGCCTGCATCCCCTATCCATGCTGGGACTAGAGCTGTGTATCACTGCACCCGGCTTTTTACATGGGTTCCAGAGACTGAACCCAGGGGTTCAGACTTGGGTCCTCGGGTTTTCATGGCAAGTGGTTTTACCTCCTGAGCCATCTCCTCCACTCAGGAGCCTGTGTTTTAAGGAAGCCCAGGACTTGGGTGTGGTAAGAAGCTTTGGGTGTTATGTAGAGGATGGGAAGTAGAGGGCGTCAGTGGTCAGACTTCCTTATAGAGTTTTGAGCTATCTGGTTGTGAAAACCAGGTAGGAGTTGCAATGTGATGGTGGGTTAGGTCGTAGAGGCAGTGAGTGGGCTGTTTGTTGGGAAGTTTAAAAAAAATTACTTATTTTCATTTTCCATGTATGAGTCTTTTGCCTGCAATGCCCATAGAGGCCGAAAGAGATCTCCTGGCACTGGAGTTATGGATTAACCATTAAGTCTTTGCCGGGAACTGAACCCACGTCTTCTGCAAGAGCAGCAGTGTTCTTAACTACTGAGCCATCTCCAGCCTGTTTTGAGAAGTTCTGTGGCAAAGCTGGGTAACAAGCAGATATTTTGCTTAGAGAGTGGACCATGAGAGGTTAGAGCAAGCCATTGTGAGGTAATCAGTCATACGTAAGCCAGCATGCAAACCTAGAATTAGATGTTACCATCTAGATACTTGGCATCTGAGAGACGTCTACAGTTTGGCCGCATAGTGTGGCATGCACCTGTGATTCCAACACTAGGCGGGCCAGGGCAGGAGAAACATGAGATCACAAGGTCAAGGCCACACTGGGCTACATGAGGAGAATTTGATGAAAAGGGAAAGAGGCAGGGAGAGGGAGAGAGACCTAGGGTTTGCAGGCTGGCATCCCTTTCTGACCCATAATAGTAGTTCAGTGCTTCTCAGACCATCTGAGGTCTAGGCCAGTTTGAAAGATTTTTATCTCCAGTGTTGTGGACTGATAGACTTTTGCTAAATGTAGTGAAAAATGAATTAACCATTAACCAGAGGAATAACCATTCTCTTGGGTGTCTTGGCAATATCAAAGTACTGTGAAGGTTTTTAAGCATGTGTTCTCCATTTCTGCATCTTCTTTGTGGGTTCTGCTTTGAGTAGCACTTAGTAGAGTAGGAGGGGAGTGGGAGATACAGGTCTGTTTACCCTTCTGACTAGGTAGGCCAGTAATTCCTGTAGGAGTTGAATCCCAACACCAGAGAACAAGAGCTCTGCTTTTACAAACTCCAAATGCTGGAAAGGAATCAGTCTTGAAAAAGATACTTGCCTTTTGCTTTTCCTGATTTTTTTTTGCTTATCCTCCCTCCTTCCCTCTCCA